CTTTACACATCTGCTAACATTATTGATCCATCTACATATACACATGCATATATACATATGCATATATATTAGCTGTGTTATTAACATAGGGTTTTTGCATCTCTGTTCTTAATTTTCAAGTCAGGAAAGTTTAACTTTTTAATATGGTTTTCTCTCTTAAAAAAGAAAACACTCAAAGCCAAATAAATTACTTTTTACTTGTGATGTGGTTGAGTTTCCTTCTTTTGTCAGTCAATAATTCTTAATAGAAATACACACACACACACATATGCATAGATACATCCACTTTAAAGAATGTTTTCTACTAGGAGAATATGAAAAGATAGAGGGAGGTCTATTTCCTTCTAGGAGAGATTGTAATTTGTGAAAACATCAAAGTTCAAAATGGCTTACAACACTCCCAATATTTACGTTTGCAATTTTAGATACTAACTAATGTATCTTTTATTTCACAGTCTCGAAGGAGAAGTCTGAGAAAAAGTTTAGCCCCAGGAGTTAATCTGACTTCTGCCTTCTTCCCAGTCATTCAGAAGTAGGAGGAGAAAAATCAGAAGTTGCTGCTACCCAGTCTTTAAATAAAACCTTGAGACCTAATCAGCGCCTTAGTGGACAATCTTTATTTCAATATGGTGAGTGAGTAGTCTTTTGGGTATCTTCACCCATCCTTTAGGCTGACCTAAAGAAAATTCTCTCTTTAGTGTCTTTAGCTCAGAATATCAAGCAAACATAAAGCAGTCATCCGAAACATCCTATGCACATTGAAGCCTATTTAAATAATCTTAATTTTTTTTTGCAGTGACCTATAAACAAACTTGTACAAAAAGAAATCAATGAACAGGTAAAATTAACCAAAAGGGAGGATATTTGGTTTTACTAATTTAGTTTATAAATTTGCATTATTTAGTTTTACAAATGAGGGGGAAATAATTAATATATTTTAAACTATGTACATTAAAAAGATGACCAGTATCTACAAATAACTATAACAACTTAATAGTCTTAAAGTCTACAAAGTGCTTTCACTTTTTAAAAAATCCTGTTACTTTGAACAGAACTCAGTACACAGGAAATAATTAATTAAAGTGCAAAGTTAAGTATGTGGGGGCGGGGAGAGAGGAGGAGAAAAGGGGATTGACCTATTCCCTATACCAATGCAGATTGACCCCTGCTCTGTAGTTTTAAAAGAGTTGCCTGGGGCATTGAGAAATCTTTCCCTCATTCTCACAGCCAGTGTTGCTTGAGTAAAGGCTTCAATCTAGGTCTTTCTAACTCCCTAGAAAGTCTATCTACTATGGCAGAATGCCTCTCAAGTACATGATACATTTAAATGACATAAAAAAATATTGCTAAAGTTCAGCTCTGATCATATCTCAACTCTCCCCCTCCCCCTTCAAAAACAAGTAAACTCCAAACTCTTTAGTCTGATGTTTAAGGCCCACCAGAATCTGGCTGCAATCTACCTTTCAAACCTTATTCCCATTCATCTACATTATGCTATTGCCAAGTTGGATTACTATGCAGATTTATTTTACCCATTCCCATATCTCTTTCTTTGTTCCTACTAACCTCCCATCATGAAATGCAAGTCCTTCTATCCATTTCCATCTACTGAAAACCCCACCCTTAAGACTGAAACCCTAAAACTTAAGTCAAAATGCTTTGTCCAAAAAACCTTCAAGGGATCTTCCAGTCTGGAAATAGAATCACAGAGCCTAGAATTACTTGTTGTTGTTGTTTTAAGAACCTTAAAGATCATCTAATCCAACACTCATTTTATAAATGAGGAAACCAGTTTGCCAGTAAGCATTAAGAGATTACAATAAATTAACAAGCTTTTATTAAGCACCAACTATATGTCAGGTACTAAGAGACTCAGTTTCTCCTCAGATACCTCATAGTACTTTGTATGGGTTTATCACATTCTGCATGGCATTAGTTATTTATGTGTTGGTTGTAGCTTCCCTGTAAATTGCAAGGTTCCTCAGAATATGGACCATACTTTTTTTATCTTTGGATACCCCAGTATCTCACAGGTCTTCAAGCAGAAGTATATTGTAGAGAGGAATCTTTATCAAGTATGGTTTGTATCACAGTGATCCTTCTCATCTCTAAAATTTTGTGACTATGAATAATAATGGTACCTCCCATTTCTATAACACTGGACCTGGGAGTTTATAACAGAGTCCTCTGAATCTCAGCTCTGTTGCTAATTGGCTACATGACCTGGTTCAGGTCATTGAAATTCCATGAGATGAGTTTCTTTTTCTCTATCATAGGTATATGATTTATGTATGATATTTATGTATGATAATTCTGACACTATTCCTCACAAGGTTGAGGAATGTATTTAAATCCAGGTGCTTTTTCCCCAATATCAAACTGACTCTCCTCAGTGTGGGTTGAATTGAATTCATGATCAAAAATTTTCCATGGTTTCCAACTTTTCTGTTGCTCTCAGGATAAAGGCAGAATTTCTTCAACTGACTTTCCAGGGTCCCCCACAATCTCTCCCCAATTTACCTACCTACTTTTTTTCCCCTCCAGGATTAGCCTTGCAGAGCTATAGAAACTAGAGAAAATCATAGTGTATTCATCCTCATTCATGCCTCCTACCTAACGTTTTTAAATAGATGAAATCTACTTAAAATTAATTTTAAGGTCAGCCTGGGAGGGGAGAAGAAAGGGAATTAATGCCCCAGAGGGCATCATGAAACCTGGAAGGGGTATGGGTATGGGTGTGTGTGTGTATAGAAAAGGATAGAAGAAAATTATTGTCAGTGTCTTTTTTTGGTACCAACTGGCTATGCCACCTTCTTATTTCCTACCCCCTGCCTCCCTGAGGCATATCCAGCTGCCTGGTCCCCATATTAACTCAGGGAGAGCTCTCTGATTTGGTGTGGTCTAGTAAGGACTTTATTTATCAATCACTTTGTATCAATCACTCTTTCCTAGTGGTTACCCTCCATGAAAGTCAGGCCAGTTTCCTCACTCTCTGTTCTGATCATATTGTTTTCTCTGGTCTGAAATAACCTACTTCTTACCGCCAGCTATATAAATCTTGTCCCTCCTTCCAATTAGTTCCCAATAAATACTACCCACTCCATAAAGCCTTCCTTGATTACATCAACTCATGTTGATTTCCTACTTCTTTCTAATGCCTATATTCTTTGTCTGTAATAACAACTTTTCACTTAAGCATATAATTTTTTATTGTTTTTAACTGTTTAATTTGTGTATGTCAATCAGCAAGCATTTCTAGTATATGCCAGGCCTTCTGCTAAGTGATAAATGGAGATACAAAAACAAAAATTAAACAGTCTCTGTCTTCAAGGAGCTTACATTCTATCAGAGAAGACAAGATGTGTATATGTAAATATAAAGAACAAGGTAAAACTTTTTGGCAGGGAAGGCACACATATAAGAGGATCAGGAAAGGTTTCATGAAGAAGGCGGAGTTTGAGTTGAGTCTTGAAGAAAACCAGGGATTCTGAGATGTGGAGGTGAGGAGAGAATTCATTCTAGGTGTGGGGAACAGCCAGTGCAAGGCATGGAAAAGAAACGTGTTTTTAGCTCAACTAGAATATGAGTACCTTTAAAAAAGGGGCAAATTTTACACTTCTTGAATTTTTATTTACTATATGTATATAGTGAACAATCAATATACATACACTTCTTTAATTGTATTTTAATTGTTTAAGTAACACTTACTGGAGGAGATGAGACTAACAGAAAGCTGCTCTGAACCTGGTCATCAAGCACTGGCTCTATCTTTTGCTCAGAAAATTCTTAAACTCCATCTGCTTCATGGTGTAGTCCAATTTTAAGAATCAACCCTCAGTATCTGGCCCATTATCTTATTGCATTCTTTTTATGTAAAAAGAATGTTATTATTTCTCCTCTAACGAATGTTACTTAGCTGTCAGTGCCAGGAACATTTGGTGCTATGTACATAATAGTTGCCATTGTAGTAAAAATTACCATTCACAATTTGTGTAAGAAGTAGAAAAATGAAAATAATTTGCAAAATTCATTGTTCTTTCAATAGTATCTCAAGAAGGGGTTCTATATAACTTGTCCAACAGGGTAAAATAAAAAGTAGCCTTTAGATGAAAACTTTGCCTATTTGTATTTATGCCAGTTGACTTTGCTAAAGAAATTATCTGTAGACCTAGATATGAAAAGATTAATTTCCCTCTGTCAAATGCAGAATACTTCTACTTTATGGAATATAATTTTGAACCATACATAAGGAGAGGCAGTATGGAACAGGAGAAACAGTACTGACTCTGGAATCATCTATAATCCTTTGCCTAAAGACATAGCCGCTGAATACCTCTTACAGAAGTACAAAGTGTTTGAGATAGCCCTTGATGGGTATGATATTCTATGGCTGCCCAAAAAGATTTTATTATATAAACTGTATTGTTACATGTCCCATATTAAACATATATAATGTGTGTGTGTGTGTGTGTGTGTGTGTGTGTGTGTGTACACTACATAACTCCTTAAAAAGGGAAGTGGTATTCTTAGTATCACTAACACTGCTTTCTGATGGAGAAATTGGGACAGAAAGGTTACACCCATGTGCTAGAACATACTACCTTTCTCAGTCAATCAAGAAACATTAAGTGCCTACTATGTGCCAGGTACTGTGCTAAGCACTGGGGATACAAAGAAAGGAAGAAGATAGTCCCTGCCGTCAAAGAGATTTCTAAGGAACCTGAGTCACAGTGATGACCAGGATTCCCAAAGTAACCCTATAAATCAGTGGCAGTTACCACTAGTACCCAGATTGTCCTCTTCTCAGTCCCACAAAATCCCTTGCTTTGTCCTGCTATGGCTCCTGCGGTTAACTCCCAAATTTCTGATACATCTAGACAATGGTTCACACATTCATGTCCTTAGTACTGAGACAGAACATGTCTGATACCATGTTACCGTGCAGTATTTGATGACTCATACTTATTAGTAAAATTTGGGAAAGTTTGCAAGGTGAGGATGTATATAAAATATAGAGTAATGAGCTGATACGTGTACCTCCTGCTTTGTAAAAAGTGTATAGACTCATTCAGTGTCTTCATTTTATTCCAACCTGAAAGGCAGAAATTATCTAAGTACTCAAAACAGAAAACAAATCTATCACTTTATAGGGAGACAAGATACTCCCTAACCCTCACTAGTATAACCCCAAACCCCTTCCCTACTCCAGGGCTGTTCAGTCATCCTCCCTCTCAGACAATCTTTCCCTTATGACTGGATCTTTCCATGTGCCTACACATATGCTCAGGCTTCCCAAATGCTGTTTTACTGTTAGATTTCTTAGAAAAAAAAAAACTGGCTACTATTTGATGCCTTTATTTCCTCATTACCCACTTTTCTGCTCAACCGCTTTCTTTTAATCTGACTTCTACCCCCACTTTCCTATGAAACTGCTTTCTCTAAGGTCACCAATAATCACTTAATTGCTAAATCCAATGGCATTTTTCAGTCCTCATCCTCTTTTAACTTTTCTGAAACTTTTAATACTATTGACCAC